CACCAGTAGACCTTCATGAGTATTCCTGGAAACTCATAGCATCTTTTTCAATACTTCCTTCACGGAAAATGCCTCAGACTTCCCAGGGTTCCAGCCAAAACTCTTATTCTTATCCGCAACTCATCTCCAAATGTATCTTTGTATCTATTCTAATGTACTCTTCAAATTCTCACCTGTCTGTTTTTGCTTGTTTCTTACCTATCCTGGAATGGTCCTCCTCTACGACTTATTCTTTCAAATAAATAGACCTGGTTCCAGTCCCTCCTTCATTAGGCAGTTTCTGCTGACAGTTTAGCTCACACTGTCCTGACTTTTCTCTCAATTCCTATTTTATAAAAAGTATTATGTGTTATTTCTATAGAGGCAACCAAATTGTAAGTTGCTTGAAGACAAAGATAATTGCAATGACTAATTTATTTATTTTTTATTGTAAGTTCTCAAGCAGTTGAATAGTGTTACGATTTTGTGTTTTTGGAGAATAATCCTGACAATAGTATGTAGAGTGACTGGTATGGGGAATGGGTGGCGGAGGTCGAATGACGATCATCAGATTTCTTGTTGTGACATTGTTTTTCCATGTAATCTATGACCATCGTCCTTCCAGGCACTTTCTTTAGTACAATCTGCAGTTCACTTTTTATTTCCGTGTCTGTCTCAGTTAGCTCTAGAGTATCACTTAGATGATACTATGATGCTATTATACTATGGCCTGGTTGTATCTGATGATACTATGTGATCTAGAGTATCACTTGGATGATACTATGATACTATGGCCTGGTTCAGTTCAGCAGAGATTTGGTGCGTGTCCACTGTGTGCTAGGCCTGAAATAAGTACTGAGAGTTCAAACGTAATTAAGATATGATCCTTGAAACCTAGGGCTTAAAGGCCTTAAATTTTACCCTGGAATCATATTTGAGAGTACTATGGATGTGTATTGAATATCTGAAGTACTGAAAAATAGTCCCTTTAAAGTGAAAATGACTTGCTTCCCATAGCATCTATAGCAAAAATTTAAGCTAATTACTTCACTCTCTGTCAGTCTCTATTAATCCCTGTGGCCCTGGAATTTTAAGCATTTATCTATGAAGAATGGACTCATCAATCATACCTCAAGAAAGTCATTGAAAAAAATAATAAAAAATTTAAAAGAATATGCTGAATTTATTTCCTACAATAGATATAAACATTTTAATTATAAGCAATTATGGTTAGATTTGACTGAAATTTGCATTTTTATGCTTCAGCAAATTATGATAAATGATCTAAAAATTAATCATAGACCTAATTAATGGGAAAGTCCATATTAAGATGAGTCCAAAGTCACATGTGAGCTCCCCTGTGAGATGCACCTTCGTCCAATGTAACTTTAGGTAGATTATTAACAAAAACAATGAAAACTTTTAATGAAGCCAGAATTCACTGATGCATTTGGTAGCTTCTGTTGTTCTTGAAAAGGGGAAAAAAATCTATCTACCATCTATCATATATATACATATACATATATATGTATATAATTATGTATGTGTACAAATATACATACAAATATATATATACCTAGTCATTTAGCTATAAAAATTTCTTTCACTAAAGTATAAAATAGACTCTGCTTTCTCAGACTGATTACCAATTGTCTTAAACATTTATAGACATTGTTAGAATTTGTTAAACTTCTGCAATCTTATTATACTGTTATTTCCCTGACAAATCTTGTTCACCTGTCAAGGCCAACAAAACCAACTGGTGTGTGTTTCAAAGCAGCTGTTAATGGCAGCACTGGATTGAAAGTTCTTCTTAGATGTACAGGGAAGCACAAGTGAAGTTGTACTGCTGCAGAATGCAAATGCCCTTTATTAGTGATTTTCTGGCTGCCTTGGCTTCTAACCCCAGACAGTACAATTCCCAGAAATTATTTGTTCAGCATTGGATTTGGATTTTTGATTTCTGAATTCTGTGCATGATGCTGAACTAATTTTTCTTTATTTTGTCTAGGCTGTCAATTTTTGACACTGGATGCTCATGTTAATTTCCCATTTCTTCCCCAAAGCAGATGCCGAGATTTTTCAGAATCTCATGGCAATAATTTTCGAAGGCTTTACGAAAGTATAAATTTTCTTTATCATCATAATGAGGCTTGACAAATGGTCCTAAAGGATCAGGTAGAATTTCCTTGTAGCCTAGTGAGTTGGTTGTAATCAGGCCGTTTCCAGGCAACGGGTCCCGTGGTTACTGGTTTCTTAATGTCTCTAAACCCGGAATCTCATTCTGCAGAGGAGTGAGAAACCTTGGGAAAACAAATACAGGAAAAAGTGATTTCTCACTCCCATCTCTTTTAAACAAGCTAACCTGTGAATTGTTTTTGACTGAGTTTATCCTCTATTTGCATTTACCAAAATGTATAATATTTCTATGAATAATATACCAGAGAAATCAGACCTTGCCCTAGGGAAATGATGTCAGTGCATTAGAGAGACAGCAGGTTTCTTTGCTGGAGATGAGGAGAATATCTGTGATTGAGTTGGATGACCCATCTGTGATGCTATAGACTTGCTTTGGCTTGCTCTTGTTCTTGCTTAACTGCAGATTGTGAGCCCTCTAGGTGGAAAGAGGTATATTTGGTATTGTCTGAACTATAGATATCCAAGTGGTAGTGAGGACAAAGGGGAGTGTCTTAAGCAGAACCCAGAAATAATAGCTTTATACCCCAGCATTGTCAAAAACTCATAAATTGATGCTTAAGGAACAATTTTCATTTTTTTCTGTACCTGTTTATAGGTAAAAATGAGGTATTAACACTTGCTACTTTATTTCCCAGGAAGCTGGGTAGCTGGGACCATGACCTGAAAATCCCAAGAAGTTTTGGTTTTCAGGTTCAGAGTGTGTGAGTGTGTGTGTTGTTGTTGTTGTTTGTGGTGGTTTTCACTGCTTGCTGATATTCCATAACCCAAAAGCATGTGTGGAAATTGATGGGGGGAGTGGATGTAGGGTGTGAGGTTGAGGGAGTTGTGACTTATCAATATGTAAAAGAATTTTACTAAGGGTATGAACTTGGTGATTTTCAGTGACCCAGCTGCAACCAGCTATCCCTTCCACATAGCATCTTCTCTGAGATTACTGCTCATCACTAAATCACACAAACTTAAGGCTAGAAATGACTTTAGAGACTCCCTAGTGAAATGTTTTCCTGTTGTAAGAAAAGAAATAGAAACCCTAATTAGCCTGTAATCCCAGCACTTTGGGAGGCTGACATGGACAGATCACTTGAGCTCAGGAGTTCAGGACCAGTCTGTGCAACATAGTGAGTCCTCATGTCTACTAAAATTAAAAAAAAAAAAAAAAATCATCAAAGAGTGGTGGTGCACACCTGTAATCCTAGCTACTCAGGAGGCTGAGGTGGGAGGATGGCTAGAGCCCAGGTGATGGAGGCTCCAGTGAACCGTGATCCTACCACAGAACTCCAGCCTGGGTGACAGAGCAAGTTGCTTTCTTTTCTAAAGTCATATTAGTTATTACCTGGTTTGACCAAGGTGTGTCTCTTTATCCCTAACTTCACTGTCCTTTTCATTAAAGCATCCAACATACTTCTTCCACATGGTTAGCCAACATACTGCAGAGAATCCCAAAGAGTAGTCTCAACATTTCTTCCTTTGTATCAGCCATGGAGAAAGAACTGCAGTCAGACTCATGGGAAAAGGAGTTGGGTGCACATTTGTAAAAATTCACTGACCCCAGGCCTGAGTAGAAATCCTGTTTATAATTAGAAACACACTTAGTGTTTTTGCAATTTGTCTTTATATCATCAAATGCAGAGTATGATAAATTATTGGCCAGAGTTGTACTATTTGACAAAGTTTAGCATTCACAGTGGTAAATTTATTTTTTTTTAGTATACAGCTATATGTTTAGACATGTTTGTAATGAAGCAAATATTAATTACATGTTTAATACCCCTAATTAGGATTACTTAAATATTAAAATGTAATTAAAAATAGTAATGTCCTTACTTTTATTAGCTATATAACCGAGGATTAAAATGCATTGGTAACATAAATTGCATAGGTGAATTTGAACAAACTCAACATATGGAAATATGAATGTATTCAGCAAATTAGGTACTTTAAAGAACTGATGTTTGGCAAATGTATTTACCATTGCATTATAATACTTGCAGAGATTTCCAGGTCAACTTGACTATGACCTTCTCAAGGACAGGAACTGTTTTCTATTCATATTTGCATACTCAATGCCTTAACACTGCCAGAAATCTAGGAGTCACTACATTAATGTTAACTGTTTGATACAAGTTCCTTTCACCAAATAACCATCTAGAAGGACAGATTGATTTGGTAAGCATTTACAAAAGATATGTACAATATCACACAAAATGCTGGGCATTTTTAGATTTTAAAATTAATGAATACAATTGCAATCAAATTTATACCTTATAGGTAGGTAATAAGGGGGAAATTGTAAAACTTATTAATTGCAATATAAGGTGCTAAGTGCAATGATAAAGATATATTATTGTATAAATGAATTAAATCAGAACATTAAAAAACATATACCACTGCATAACCTAAGGCATTTTAAACTATGGTATTTAAGGCGTATACTCCAAGAATTTCCACATATTTTTCCCATGGGTATGGAAATTGATCTGTCTCTCAAATTTGACTAAGCAAGACCGACGCAAATTTCCTGGGCAACTGCACTCAGCATATGGGGCTCCTTGTAATTAACTGACTTATTTGCAGAAATTCTGAAGTTAGTTAGGATCAGGAATCTTTTGTCTAGCCGGTGTATTCAAGGTATTTCATTAGTTCTAGTTTTACCTAATGTTTAAATGTTTAAAAATTATTTTCCTATCTTTGAAATGGCTTGGTATGAACAAAGTTATTAATTTATTCCTTTAAACAAATCTCCCAGCTATTGTTTGTTTTGTCCACATATTACTTTCACTAATTGCTAAACTGCTTTCTGTTTTTGTAATGCTGAACTTTAGACTGCCCTTGTATTCTGCACATCTGAACTGGAGGAGCAATGCAGTCCTGATAATTGACCCTCCCTGGTGGCCAGACTTTGTGGAGTTTATCTACAGGTGGGAGTTTATCCAAAAAAGATTGTCCTTAAAATTTGCATAGCTGAGGCAGGACAGCAGTGCACCATACTGACTGGCATCATTTTGTGATTATTTTATGTGGGATTAATCCCAGCATACACCAATATTAACACTAAAAGTATTGTGGAATTTTACTGAATCCTGAGGCCCTGTTTGTTGTCTAAAGAAAGGTATGCAACCCTGTTTTGCCCAACAGCCTCTAACCTCCCCACCTACCTACTCTGCCCTTGCCTCTCTCAAAGCTCCTGCCAATCACTGAGGAGCTTGTTAGAAGTAGATTCTTAGTACTTTCTGCTGAGATTCAGTATTTCAAAATTTAGTGAGAAATATGCATTTTTTTTTGCAAGCAATTCAGGTGCTTTTGATACAGATGGTTATCAGATCATGTTCTCAGTTTTTTCACTCCCACCCCATCCCATCCATGTAAGTGACACCTCAGACCATAAATCATGGGGAGAATGCTTAGCCAAGCATGTCAAAATCCATTCCTGTTCCTCCTGATGGATAGAAAACCTCCTTTCCCTGTTCCTCCCTGATTTCTATGCTTCTTGGAAGAAATGTGAAAGCAGTATATTTTTTAAAAGGCCTTCTTTAAGTCTTAAGAATCTTCTTTTAAAATGAGTGTGGTTGTGATTCATGATTGTTGAGGGCTTTGTTGCAGCACATGAGCTCTAATTGTCTAATTATGGACCTAAATGCAAAGGGCCAGGACTTTCAAAATTTCCTTTCTCTTCTAGGCATAAAGACCAATCAGTCACTGAGACTGTTAACTATAGTTTCTCATGTGTTCAACAGCAAGGAGTTAATTTCAAATATTGCTGCTGTGTATCAATTTTTCCACCTGTATCTTTCCATTCTTATCCCATAATAGCTTCAGCTCTGTTGAGCTTCTGACGGCTTCAAAAAATGCTGGCTCACTGTTTTTATTATTGTTTCTCACCTGCTCCCCTCCCTACCCTGCTTTGATATTCAGATTTTCATACTTAGAAGGAACATAGCTGAAATACTTTGCAAGTGCTTTACCATTCTGGATATGCTTATTTTCAAATTGGCTCTGTTGCTGCGTGTAGAAAGAAACCTTGATTATAACTGCATTTGGTGTCCTATAGTGCACTCTCTTCACTTTCCATGTCCCTCAAGCATGCACAAGGCTCACCAGCCTACGGTTCATACTAATGCACTGTTTAGCTGGAATTCCTGTCCTTCTCCACCACCACTTTACCTGGGCGGAAAGAGGGATGGCAAGGAAACAGAAAGAAGTGAGAGAAGATAGAGAAACACATAGGTAGTGACCTTTTTTCTTTTGTAGGAACAATTCACATTTATCTTCCTGATGTCTGAGAGGAGCTCATGTTTCCCCTCTTCCTCTCCCTCTCCCTCTCTTAATGGTTAACCTAGTGGAGATGTGTTATATTCCAGGAGCTTGAGTAGTTTTTGTTTTGAAGTGAACAATTAGGGTTTGGCCACAGGAGCATCTGGTAAAGCATCCTAGAACAGGAGAAGGAAAGTAAGGATAGTTTTCCCCCTTCACTTTATGTATTGTGCTTCAAACATCCTGTGAGATAGTTAAGTTAGTTTCATGGGAAGAGGTTATATTTTGATTGGACAGAGTAGTTTCTGTAGGAGCTGGTCTGATATCTGGTTTTCCTTATAGATCTCAACCTGACACAACTTGAAGCAGAAAATACTACACTTTCACTTTGTTTAAACACCAATAACACTAGCAACTTATACACTGTTGAACTTTCAGGGAAGTTATTCTGCAAATTCCATAAACACATCTTTAACATCTTCAGCAGGAACTATTACAGGTGTGCTCCGCTTGGGAGCTAAGAAGTTTATTTTCATTATTTACACAGAAATGAAGAGTACAATAAATCGTGCCGTCAAGCATTTTTGGCAATTTAGTGATCCTTTGTTATGTAGGTAGATTTGATTTTCACATTCATGATCCTCACTCATTCACTCTCTCAAGATTTTTTGAAGCACCTTTGGAGACAATGTGTCATAGTCTCTGTGTATGTGCACATATGCTCTATTGCCAGGGCTCAACGCCACTTACTAACAATGCGACTGTGAGCAAATTGTTTAACTGCTCTTTTTCCTCATCTATAAAATGGGTACAATGATAAGCATATAACCACATGGGGAATTTAGGTGTGTGATAAGTAAAAATATCTGAAAAAAGATAGCAGAGTATCTGGTACATATTAAGTATTCAATATGTGTTACTCATTATCACCTTCCCTGTAGCCAGAGCTGAAATAGTCAGTTGCTAAGGGATGACTGGCCTCTAAAAAGAATGCTTATTTTTAAAATTCAGCTTTAGATGTCACGTATTATTGGTGCATATGGTTTGCACCATACGCAAAGTATGGTATGAATGTCATTTGTTCAACTTGGAATTTTTTAGGAACACATTTGCTTTATGTCATGCGCCACTATAATCATATAAGGGCAGGGGCTTTGTTTGCTGATCACTGTGTCCCCAGAGCCACAGTGTCTGTCATGTAGTAGGTACTTGAGAAGTATATATGATAGAGAGGGGGATACGTTGCTCTGCAGGGGCCTTTGCCTATACATGTCTTCCTGGCCAATAGAATAAAATGATCCTCAGAACAGATAGCTATGGACGGAGGAGACAAGGGAGGAGGCATGTTCCTGCTTCAGGGAAAAAAAAAAAAAAAAAAAAAAGGCTGACGGATGTGTCACAGTCTTAACCTTCTCTTTAGTTCTAATGCATTCCCAGGATGTGTCACATGTCATCTCAGTGGGAGTGTCATTGGAGGGGAAAGTAGGACATTCTTAAGTTCCAAGAGGGATAAGTCAGTTGAAAATGTGTCATAATTCACTAAAAGGAGATGTCCCCTTTATTTTTTATGGCCAAATTATTCGGTGGAGGAAACAGCGGGGTGGGGGCAGATCACTAGCTGTTACAGGCTTTTTCATTACTCTATATGGGAGATCTCATAACTGACTTTATCAGGTGAAATATTACCTTCAATGGCAGTTACAAGGCAAAAGTGGAGAACTCTGCCATGTGCTAGAAAGAGTAATCTTTTGATACTGAGCATCTTCCTTTCACCTTCCACAAGTTGGCTGGAGAGCAGAAGTGGAAATTTGGCTCCTAGATATAAAAAGCTCTCAGCTAATTAATTCAATGCATCAAGTATTTATTAAGTGCCTAGCATAATAATAATAATAATAATAATAATTTGAAGGAGGAGGAAGAAGATAAACTATTAATTAAGCTCTTACTAGTATTAGGCATTAATTAAGCTGTATTTTGTATATGCATTATCTTAGTCACCATACAAACCAATAGAATAGTCATGGTTATTTTACAGATGGAGGAATTGAGGCCAAGATAAATTAAATTACAGGCAAGCAATGGTAAAATAGCAGGTAGATCTGACCAGCTGTCTGATACAAATGTTGAATATCCACAGTCCAAAGAGTGTTTGGGGCTGTCAGGAAATGATGTAATCAAATGGGGCTAATTAATAGTAACACCATATAGCTGTCAATGACAGGAACTAGTCGATTCTCACAGAAACTTTGGAGAGTAGATAGGTGGGAGAGATTGAGTTAGGACTATGGTATCATTAATGTTCAAATAAAATGAAGGGAGGCTCCTAAAAAGCCTTCAGAGATCTAGAGGCCCCTAGCAGAGGAGGTGATGTATGAAGAGGGTCTTAAAGAACAAAAGTTAAGTAGCCTATTTAGTTACAAAAGGGACAACAGGAATCAGCCAGGAGCAACAACCGTATAGAAGCTCTAAAGCAAGAAGCTTGCACGACTCTGAGAACTTCAAGTAATGCTGCAGGGCTGGCTGACACTTAGAAAACTGGGCTAGGAAAGGAGGAGAGGAAGAAAAGGGGCTAGAAATATCATTACTGGGTATATATCCAAAAGAAAATAAGTTATTCTACCAAAAAGACATATGAACCGGTATGTTTATCACAGCAGTATTCACAATTGCAAAGACAGGGAATCAACCTAGGTGCCCATCAAGAGGGTATTTGGTAAAGAAAATGTGGTGCATATACACCATGGATTACTACACAGCCAGGAAAATGAATGAAATTATGGTTTTTGCAGCAGCATTGATACAGCTTGATGCCATTATCCTAGGTGAATTAATGCAGGAACAGTGAACCAAATACCGTATGTTCTCACCCATAATTGGGAGCTAAACATTGGGTACACATGGACATAAAGATGACAACGGTAGACACTGGGCACTATTAGAGGGAGAGGGAGAGAATGGGGCAAGAGTTGAAAAACTATCTACTGGGCACTATGCTTACTACCTGAGTGACAGGGTCAATCATACCCTAGACCTCAGCATCACAAAATATACCCATGTAACAAACCTTTACATGTGCCCCCTGAATTAAAAATTAAAAGTTGAAAAAAAAAATACATGACCTCTTAGAGCTGGACATGGTGGCATGAGCCTGTAGTCTCAGCTACTCAAGAGACTGACATGGGAGGTTCACTTGAGTCCAGAAGTTCAGTAAACTCCTATATATATATAGGAGTTTATTAAGGAGTATTGACTCACATGATCACAAGATGAAGTCCCTCAATAGGCCTTCTGTAAGGTGAGGAGCAAGGAAGCCAGTCTGAGTCCCAAAACCTCAAAAGCAGGGAAGCCAATAGTGCAACCTTCATTCTGTGGCTGAAGACCTGAGAGCCCCTGGAAAACCAGTGGTATCGGTCCAAGAGTCCAAAAGCTGAAGAATTTGGAGTTTGATGTTTGAGGGCAGGAAGCATCCAGGATGGGAGAAAGATGGAGGCAAGAAGACTCAGCCAGTCTAATTTTTTCATGTTCCTCTGCCTGCTTTTATCCTGGCTGTGCTGGCAGCTAATTAGATGGTACCCATCCAGACTGAGGGTGAGTCTGCCTTTCCCATTCTACTGACTCAAAATTTAATCTTTTTTGGCAACACCCTCACAGACATACCCAGGAACAATATTTTACATCCTTCAATCCAATCAAGTTGACACTCAATATTAACCATCACAAGAAATTTACTCCATTAGTCTATTGTTTTCATACTGCTATGAAGAAATACCCAAGACTGGGTAATTTATAAAGAAAAAGAGGTTTAATGGACTCACAGTTACACATGGCTGGGAGGCTTCACAATCATGGCAGAAGGCAAAGGAGGAACAAAGGCACATCTTACATGGCATCAGGCAAGAGAGTGTGTGCAGGGGAACTGCCCTTTATAAAACCATCACATCTCATGAGACTTATTCTGTATCATGAGAATGGCACAGGAAAAACTCAGCCCCATGATTCAATTACCTCCCACCTAGTCCCTCCCACAACACATGAGGATTATGGGAGCTATCATTCAAGATGATATTTGGGTGGGAACACAGCCAAATCATATCACCTGTGAATCGCCACTGCACTCCAGCCTGGACAACAAAGCAACACCCGGACTCTAAAAAAAAAAAAAAAAAAAAAAAAAAAAGTGCATATAAAAAGAAACCCGAAAAGGGGTTGGAAAGCAAAGAAAGGCCCAGATGGGACTGGTAGCCTACTCGACCTACTCTAAGGTTGACTCAGCCTAATCAACTTTGGGAAGTTTGACTTAGTCTTCAAGAGAATAGAGAGACACTGAAGGATTTAAGAAGGGCTTGACAGAATCAGGCCTGCATTTACATAGCTCATTCATCAAGCAAGGTAGAAAATGAATTAGTTGATTTGGGTCATGGTTAAAGAGAACAGGACTGTAGGTGGGAAAATCAGTTGGGAGGTGTTGAGTGAGAGATAAGAAGCTCCTGAGCTGAGGCACAAACAATGTGAATAGATTGTGATGCTGGCTGTAAGCAAGGTAGGTAAGGCTACCTTGGAAGGACGCATCACATTACACAAGCCCCGCCCATCTGCTTTCCTGTGCCCATCAAGCCACACCCACCCCACATACACACAATTGAAAATCACTGCTGCAATGCACAGGTTTATTTCTTTGTTTTTACTTTTTTTTTTTTTTAATTTTTCTTTTTCTGTGAAAGTGTTGGGATCAGAGATTCTGCCAGACTTTTAAAAACGATCGGGTGTAGGAATGAGAGAAAGTGTGGTTAGAGTGGCTAGTACCTTACCATGAAAGGAGTGTCAGTAGAAGAAGTGATTTTGAGAGGGTAGAGGAGCCCCGCAATAGCTCTATAACAGTTCTATGAAGTACCCAGCTCTATAAAATACACTGGAGGAGATAGTTCCCCTCATTGCAGGAGTCTTCATACAGGATCTGAGGCTCTGTCTGGGTCTGAGGGAAGAAATAAGATTTGTCTAGGGATTTGGCTGATAGGGCAAAGGGAACCTAGAGAAGAGAGGAGCCTGAACAGAGAGTCCTATGGCTGGGAACAAGTCGTGTGTGACTAACGCCTTTCCATGTGCCATAAAATACAAGGCCCCTTCTCCGATTACAGAGGCTAGGTTATCTAGACTCTCATACTGATGAAAAGATGTTTTGAAACTTGCCTAATAACTCAGTGAAGGGACAGATCCATTTTCCAAGCTCCCAGTGGAATATTGAATACCAACTTGAGGCCTTTGAAGAATAATGAATCATAACAATTGACGTGTTTGAGTAGTACAGGATCAGGCTGTGTGCAGCGAGATTTTAAAAAATGACCTATGTGCAGTCACCACTAAATAGAGTTTCTTGAAGCGTAAACTGAGTCTATGATCTGCTTGTGCCAGAGCTGTAATTCTCCAAGAGGCAGCTTCCTAAGACTTGATCAATGGAGGACACCTGTCCCTCCAAATAACTGGTGGTACTAGGTATAATATAGGAGTGATCTTCACCCAGAGATCTTTGTTAGTTGTTGATTAATTAAGTTACACTCTCTCTCTCACACACACACACACAAAACACCCAAATACACACACACACACACACACAGAGCTTAGATTGATAGTGCTAAGCATTGGTCAGAAAAGTTTGCAGATTAATTGACAAAACCCTTGGCCACAGTGGTTCTCACTCACCACTGCTATCCATAAAATGGATTAGCATAGTATATTTACCCTTATGTCCTTACCCAAATCAAGAATAGACCATAACAGTTTATTCTGAAACTTACTGATATTCCTGACATATTAGCCCTTTAATAACTTATGTCTTGTGCTCTCACAGCATGCATTATTTTCAATGCTTTTTCTTATGCATTGTCTCATTGGAATCTTACAAAATTCTTGATTATTCTATATTTTAGATCCAAGAGTTGAGATGCATAGTGATTCAGTTGCTTCAAATCGTACACCAAGATGGTAGCAGAATAAGTGCCCTATTGCTTTTATGCTAGTTATGCTAGTTATCTTGCTAGTTGCCTAGAAGCCCAAGATAAAAAGACACATGGCTCTTTAAGAATATATCTCCGAGTTGGCCGGGCACGGTGGCTCAAGCCTGTAATCCCAGCACTTTGGGAGGCCGAGACGAGCGGATCACAAGGTCAGGAGATCGAGACCATCCTGGCTAACATGGTGAAACCCCGTCTCTACTAAAAAATACAAAAAACTAGCCGGGCGAGGTGGCGGGTGCCTGTAGTCCCAGCTACTCGGGAGGCTGAGGCAGGCAGGAAAATGGCGTAAACCCGGGAGGCGGAGCTTGCAGTGAGCTGAGATCCGGCCACTGCACTCCAGCCTGGGTGACAGAACGAGACTCCGTCTCAAAAAAAAAAAAAAAAAAGAAAAAAGAAAAAAAGAATATATCTCCGAGTTGTGAAAGTCTCTGAGTTCAGTTCTCCCATCAATCTCATTTATGAGTTTTCAATAGGACTTTGTACCCAGCGAACTGTGGGATTTATGAGTTCTAATCTTAAAGGAACAAAAAAGAATTTATGTATTATTAATTCTTACCTTGAAATATACATAGGCATTATGCAGTTTATCCACAATATGTCACTATTAAAGGTGATTTGTTTATTACAAGAAATGTTTAAAATTGTTTTCCAGTTTAGAAATCACCTGTGCGAAAGGTTGCTTTCATATTTATGTATTTGCCAAGAGTCAATTATAGTTTTTTATTCTTGGTTTGAAGATAATCCCCATGTTAATAAACAACTCTAATATAAGCTCTTGTGCACAGGTTTATGATAAATTCCCTTGGGCCACAGTCATTTTATGGGATAAAAACTTGAATCACCAGTTAGGCTAGTTGATTTGTTTGAAATTGCCTTGGAAAGAATCCTCATGTTGGATAGACCACACTCATTGCCTGGTCATCCTGGAAACAGTAACATTGTGATTAGGTTTGTGGGAACAGGTAAGTGAGAGGTCTCAAAGGTGTTCTTTTTACTTTTTAATTTTCTGACATGAAGTTGATCTGCAGGACCTGTGTGGACCAAAGGAAAAGAGACCATGTTACTCTGGAAAAAGAAACAATGAGGCAGCAAAGAATGCCACCTATCAAATTCATTTTTGGGTGGAAGAAAACAAGCCAGAATGACTGCTAGTTAACAGTAGTTTTAAGCTGTACATGGTGGTGGGCACTTTTAGGCCCAGCTACTTGGGAGGTTGAGACAGAGGGATTGCTTGAGCCCAGGAGTTTAAGTCTAGCCTGGGTAACACAGTGAAACCTCATTTTGTTTGTTTGTTTATTTGTTTTTAAATAGCTTATAAGAAGGAAGATATAGTCAGCCTCTGTTTCTTGCTCTTTAATACATAAAATTTCATTGCATTAAGTGATAGATATACCTTTATCTTTCATTAGCATCTGCATTTGGGCTTTCAACTTGTTAATCTTGGTCATGAGAGAGTCAGTCATTAAGTAAAGGTTAACATTTCTAAGCATTATAATTGCAGCTTTGCCATGAAATGAACCGTAAGGAAAAGTGAATCGAACATAGTTGAGTCTGGGAAAGGGGTATTTGCATTAGGGTGTTGGGTCTGGTCTCTGCATTTGTTAAACTATTTCTGTTTCTTGTTTTAGTTTTAGAGAAACTTGAAATTTTCAGATGGATAAGGAAGGACTTCACTAATTTCTGACTCCAGACTCCAGACATATCTTCAATAAAGCAATGCAGGAGAGCTATCTAATCCATTCTAAAATTACATATATTCCCTCAAGTAAGAGAATAAAAATAATGTCACTCAGCTTACTATATGTTTCTCTTGTGAATGTGTCTGGAGGTCCTATGGACTAATATTGGAAGGAAGTTCTCAAGAGAGCCTCAGGACCGGTGGCCCTCAAGAGAGGAGGTAACATTTGATGGTCTCAAAATATTGAGAATAACTTGGACGTCTTGCGCTTTCACAACATGCATCAACATTGAGAATTGTGAGGCTGTCAGATGTTACCTCCTCTCTTGAGAGCCACCAGTCTTGTAACCCTCAACTTTTTCCTGGGCATGCCCAATCACTACTTGGACACCATTCTAGTGATAAGATAATTGATAAGGTTGTCTAAATTCAGTGTTACTATTACTGAACCACATTTGATTAAGGTCTTTTATTGAGAACTTTTTAAAAAGGGATGATATTGCATGTGTGATGATAGATATGACTTATTCTGTACTTACTTTTAATTTGTATTCTTATATCATAGTTGTACATATTTTGAGGGTCCATGGGATATTTTGATATATGTATTACAATGTGTAATTATCAAGTCAGGGTAATTGGGATATCTATCATCCCAAATTCTGTATTTCTTTACAGTTGAGTTATTCACTCATGTCAGTGTTTGTCTGGTTACAAAATCGTTATCAATTTGCTCTCTTTTTCCTCCTGCACTCTTTGTTTCCTACACTCTTAATTTTTTACTCTTCCACATGCCTCACTCTGTGTGGCAGTCTGCATATATGCTATAACTCTTACTGACTGGTTCTATAACCATTTCTACTTAACTCTGGTACCTAAATCTGGACTAAAGCTTCTATAATTTCTATGGAATGCTGTAGTCGGATACTAAATGTGCTTCTTTGCGCAACTGAGAGGCACTATTTGTCTCCACATACTCTCTTAATATAGAAATTGTGTCATTCAAGAGAGAAGAGATTGACTTCAAAATGTCACCAAGAAAACCATCGCATTTAAAAACAAAGCACGTTTTCTCACATTAGTATACCATGCTTCTTTTCTGTAAAGCATTCTTTAGCCACATCTACACAGCCGTTTTCCTAAGACTAACAGCACAAGATTAGGCTTTCAGTTTTAACACATAAATACCCAACATGTATGGATTATAAGAGTATATTTATTGATATTTTTAAGAGCATGCAAATATGCTCTCAGAGTAAAAAAAAAATGCTTTCAACTTTGCTAAGTCTTGATTTTATAACTTAATCTTTTATGTGCATTTTATAAAACAAAAAATTTTGATGTGGATCTTAATAAATGAGAATTTTTTTCTATTCCGCTAACCCTTTGTAAATCAACCACCTATTCCATATGAAAATATCTTAATATACTTACCCTTTTACTATTGTTGGACATTTAGGTTGTTTTTAAAGCTCTGTCCATCTAAATAATTCTGTAATACACACCTTTATGCAAAAAAAAAAAAAAAAAAAATGCAGTCTGTGTTTTTTGTAGAATGGATTTCCTGATGCAAATTGCTAGGACAAAGGGTAAGTAAATTTGCAAGCTCTTGATAAGCATCTCTTAATATAATATTGAAAGTGCTGTATTTGTTTATCTGGTGAAGTCTTACTGGTTTCCTTATCTGTTTGAGTTATTTGTAAACAAATGCTGTTTAATGTACTTGAATGAACATAATTTCTATGTTGGCATCTAGAATATGCTTTCCTATACTCTGAGTTTTGCTATCACCACAATACTTGTGAGATGGAAGTTTCTATACTTATAATTGTATTTTAGGTGAAGTCATACCTAGAGAGTAGGGGTGATAGTCTCATGATGGGTGATTTGTACAGCCTCCGTTCTCTCATTGCTAAGGAGACAGACAATACCAGAGAAAGATCCCTGTGGGAAGGAAAAGTACAGAGAAAGGCCTGAGGGTTGTATGTGGATAATCCACCTGCAGTTCTGCTCAGAGTCTCTTCATAAACATTAGCAAGTAAAATCAAGTAGGCCTGTTCTTTCCCATCCTACCCCTGTTCCGTTTCCTGCTGTCCCTCTAGATATCTTTTTGTCACCTCTTTTCCATCAAAAGTGACCTTCATTTCCATTTTATCCCGATTTCACTGCATAAAAATGCAGTAGATTAAAGTGAAGGAGGCCTCACAACACTTTTCAGCTCACCTTCAGGATTGGCCTTCATTTTAGCAAAGCTTCAGGATCTGCAGAGAATGATTTGGCCTAGAATTAAAGAACAACTGCATCTGAATTAGTGATGATTATTATTTCTATTGTTGTTCTTATTGTTAGTTTAAATGCGAAGTGTGATCCAATTTGAGTATGTCTGATTTTCCTCATGGGATTAAAAAAAATTCTTTCTCCTGAGAGGAATCAAGAATGGCTTGATTTTTTGGTTTCATGGTTTAAAGCCCAACATTTTATAAATCTTTGGGCCTACAATCAAAGGCTAAACTTAATTACAATAGGTAATAAAAATTTATTCTGTCATTCGTGGATCACAGGCTTTTATGACCAGTGAATTTTACTATCTGAAGAGAAGGAAAAACTGTTCCTTGGAAAGGAGCTTGGTGCTTTAAAATGAAGCTTTCTGGTTTTGTGTTTGGTGTATGGTAAGTGGGATACATAATGTTGGAACATGCCTTGCTGACTTTTGTGCTCACCGTAATTAGGTTCAAAAAGCAGAGCAGGGTGTTTTCATTCCATTTTGCAAGTAAGGAAATGAAAACTGAGAGGTTAGTGACTTAATTGAGAGTTACACAATTAGAAGTGGTGGGGTTGAGATTTCTAAGCTAGTGTTCTTTGAACTGTATTATACTGTAGTGAATAGGCTGTAATGAAGTTTATCGTCACCTAAAGTATGTCCAATGGAGCAGTTCTCAGGAATGCTCCATTTAATAGGCAGATCAATGAGAACATGAATATAGGTGAATAGGCAGATCAATGAGAACATGAATATAGGTGAAGAAACAGAGAAATTTTCCGCTAATCTGAGTCTAAGTTGATTCCAGAAAGGCAATGGTTAATCTATGTCAATGGGAGATACTAGTGAACATTAACTGGTGCAAGACACAAAGTACTTCAGATACTCATTAAGTTGAAGCAACTTGTGAAATGAAAGCTATGTTTTAAAAATGTCTTGTGTTCAATAAATATCTGACTTTTCAGTAGAAAATAAATTCCAGTTTCTATATAAAAACAACTTGACATTTTTCAGCAATACTTTTTAATGAGCATTGCTCTGAGCTATAATATAATGAAATTTGCTTAAAAGTAGAACAGGCGGGTAATGCTTGGCAGAACAAAGAGGCATATGGTAAAACAGTTGTGATTTACTGGCGAAGGTTTTCAATTTTTGGAAAGCTAGAAGCTTTCGACAGAGTGGACTGTAGCTTGATATTCATTTCTGAAAAAGAACCACAGCAAAACAATATGCTTAGATTAAGCTAGCCTGATATATATTTAAAGCATTTTCTCTTTGAATTTATGGTTATTAATACAGGCTGTGTTCATATTTCAAAGTGAAATAGATAACTAAGGAAATTTTACTGATAATTTATATTCCATAGTATTTTGTATGGCACAATGAAAATTGTGGCATTTTAGAAGATAAGGAATCAATTGTTTGGAAAAAAAGGAGTTGCTCTGCATCTCACTTTGCCTTAGTAAATGTGAGATGTTGAACTTGAGCTCCCACAAATTTACAATAATCTTAAAGCCAGTTTGATATAAATTTATGTTCAATAAATAATGAGAGGATGTGTGTATATGTATGATGAACTAGGAGCATACTGTAATATAAAATCATTTATAAGTGAGATCAATATCTAACCAGATAACTGATCTCTCAAATAGTCCTGATTACTAAACTACTAAATGACATTTATTTTGTCTTTTAAAATGAAGAGGCTGCTTGCATTTTTATAATTTAAATAATTGTAAATGAATAGTGAATGAATCACCTATTAATTGTCCTTTTATGGTATATTAATTTAATATTTTTAGCAGAGCCATATGTTTTCCTATAATATTATTTTATTGTTCTATTAAACTAGTACATTAATGGCCATTGGGAATCCCTCCCCCCAAAAAAATTGTCATGATGAATTTATTGAAATGTAGAAAATTGTAAAATAATGAGCTGCTAAATGACTTCCTTTTGGTTTTACCAATGTATGTTTATGCCTTGTCAGTTACACTTTACACACAGAAATTTGCAGCTGTAAAAAATTCTCTCACTTAGGGATTACCTTGTCAGGCTGCATGGAACATGATATAATCATTTCATACTTTTCATTCCCCTATCTAATCACTCAGAACATAAAAACATGCAGTTTTTCCTACTTCAACCTTTTCTGGTATTTATTTTCTTTATTTTCAGATAATCTTTTCTTGTATCAACTTCAGGAGAGAGATAAGAAGAGAAAAGATAACTAGAAATGGTCTAAATATTGCTGCTAATAATAATACTATGCCATGCGAAGCTGGCCTGCAAGTGGATGACAGAGTCCCTGAGGTTTTACTGCCAGACTCTGTACTGAAAATCAACCATGCATGGGAGTGATTAGTTATTTGTAGACTTCCATGACGCTGTCATTTTCTTTTCTCCTTCTGTGTTGGTCGTAATGGAAAGGCAGTACGGCATCTCATTTGTTTTTGCTAGGAGCCTTCCTAGTTCAACATGCTCAACACGTCTACTTCCCATTTGAGATTTCCTGAAAACCTGTTCCTCTCTCCTGTGTGTATAGAAAATCATGAGGACTGTACTGCTTCAGCTTTTAAAATTTAATTTTATCTTATTTTCATTCTACAATTATAACCATCTTGAAAACCCTAGTAGAATCTTTTTCTCCAAATATTAAAGGTAAAATAAAGAAAAGTTACATATATTTCACAAAGTTTAAATAATACTAAACCTGTAACTCATTAAGCATACAAGTAAATTAACACCAAGATTAAATAATGCAGCTTTTAGAATATGTACATTTTTCCTCAGATGAAGTGTAATAAATAAACCATGTAAGTTTTAACAGGATTCAGTTGAGTAGTATTTTTAT